TCTCACTTTGTGATTTACCCATTACTTTGAAAAGAATCTGTTCATTTAATTATTTCAGTAAACATAATACTGGTATCACTATCTATGCTACATAGTATTTCCCACTTTTTAAGGAATATGAGCCTACTTGTAATTAAAGGAATGCTATATTAATGATGCTGAAAGTCTCAGAGGGAAAAATTTAATGTCCACCTCATAATATTATGCCAGAATTACATGTGCAGAATACTTTTTAATAATCTTTGTTTCTTAATTTAGTTTTGATTGGCTATGAAATACGGAGTAGCACTCAAGGGCTCAAATTTCTACTGTCATCAGCATTTCTGCTCTATAAATTGTACAAATGCACAGGACTCCCATCTGCAGGCTCCTTTTCAAGCTTCTATTTAACCTACGAAGGAAATTAGCTGCAGGCAACCATAATTGATGATAATTTCATCATTTTTTAGCTGTTGGGATGTATTATGATATTTAGGTCTTAACACAAACAAAGAAAATTATATTTTCATGTTGCCATTTGAGCTGCAAACACAAGTCGGTAACACAAACCTGACTCTAGTTTGCAACTTACAGCAACAGCCAGTAGGAGTGTCCTGGTCAAATTCGTGATGAGTTTGCAGAGTAATCACGGCTCAGGTTTGAATGCAAACCACATGCTAAAGGATGGATTTCAGCAGTGGGGCCAGTCCCTGTGCAGGGCAGGTGGGACTGGGGCGACAGCATCTCTGAGCCGTGAGCAGCAGCATCAGGTTCCTGGGGCTTGTAGCAGGGACATAGCTGGCACATGTTTTAGAAGGAAAGCCAGAAGCCACCTATACACTGTTCTGGTAGAGCAAAAGATGGTGACAATCATAGGAAGTCAGATTTGTTTCTCTTTATGACTGGACAGAGTATTGTGGAATTGCTCTTACAAAGAGGGAAGTAGATTTCACTGACTGTTAGTTACTCCCAGGGATTTCAAGAAGATTTGTTTCGCGCCGAAATGCTGCAGGCCACGAGAACTAGTACCACCAGGCACTTCAAAATTTGCTTAGTGTCTCTCCACAGTGAAACCTGCTGCTCAAACCTGAAAATGTGAATAGCTTCTTCCTCTCCTCTCTCCTCTGCTATGCACAAGCATACGGTGCCAGACATGCGCTTAGCAATGCCAAATGCTCAAAGTTCATAAATTACAGATCTGCAGGAAGGGGTCACACTGGCTCAAACATGGTGGCTGTTCAGTCCAAGTCTGTGACTGACAAAATATGTCCAAAATTCCTTGAAGGAACGCCACAGAAAGCAGTCATGCACCTTCTGCCAGCATATGTAGCTCACTCTGAGAAACTAGAGACTGCTTTAAAATGGACAGGGAAGCCAAAAGTGACCAGTGAGCCCTTCCCCACAGTGCTGGTTATCCTGTAGGGAGGAGCCTGATTTATTCTGGAAGGATGCTGTCATATCCTCCTTACAGATACATGCAATTTCACGTCTAGAAATTTTAAGTGTTCAACTACTCTTGGCCACTTTTTTACAAGTTTCTTTTATGCATCTCTTCAGCAAAAATCCTTTCCAAGATGTAGAAATGCTGAATGACTTTAAATCTGATGAGATTTTAAACAAACAATTTGGAAGATTATTTATTTGGCTTCTGCTTTTTGAGCTCTTTGGTTTCATTTTCAAACTTTTCCCTGCAACCAGAAGGACTAAGGAAATAAAGATGATGTTTTAAGTGAAACCTGAGAATATCATATAATCATAATTGTAGGACTCCAGGGGTTTGAGGTTTCAGAATAATCTCATGAGCTGTCAATATTGAATGTCACCAGAAACCATAATGTTATTCTCAGAATAGATGCCTAAAAGCAACTGTGGGATAGTTTTTCTGTTGCATGCTTCCCATAATACCTACAAATGCTGTTCTGGAGGGACACCACAAAGCTACCTTCAAGTAGTGAGCTGCCAAATGCTGGCTTTAGCTGCCAGCTAGGGCTGTTATATTTTGCAACAAATTTACATATGCAAAGCCCTGTTATTCAGTCTGTCAACTAAACATTCTCACTAAGTACAAATTCATCATGGACTCATAAGAACATTTAATACCATGGGGAATTTGCAGAAATAAGTAGGGGGCCAATTTAACCACCCATCTCCTCTGTATTGTATGCTTGCACACATTGCAGATTATTATCAGCTACCCTCACAGACTGTCTTAGATTCTACCATAATCTCCCAGCAGGACTTGAAAGAAATTCTCAGTCTGGTTTGTTTCAAGGATCTAATCTATAATACACCAAAGGCTGACAGAGACTCAACAGCTAGTACCTCAGTCCATTTGGTGAACAGAAAATAAGTAAATCTGATCAGAGAACTGACATGCAAATAAAACAGGAGGCTGCTTGAACTTCCTTGTCATCCTGCAGAAACAGACTTGGCTGCTTGGTACTGTTGCTTATTATTAGAATAGCTGAAAAGGCCCTGTTCTTCTCCAAATCAGTGTTAACCTGATTTCAATAACAAAACAGTGGTAAAGGTTTGGTAGGCACGTAGCCAGAACTTACAAGAAGAAAACCAAGCATTTGTATATGCCAGTTTGGCACTTCACTGTGCTGAAAAGAAACCTTTGCATCTTTGTCACTTCAGATTTGGGATTTTTTAGCACAAGAACATGCCTAACACGAAAGAACTTCTTTCCACTGCCCACTTTCTCCAAGTATGTCAGTGCTATCTTCTTAACTCATTTTCTAAAACTAAAAGTGAACTCAAAAATTAAAGATCTCAAAAATGCCAAGGGCTCAGCCCTACAAAATATATAATATCTCATTTTGAAGGAAATATCTAATTCCTACAGGTAGCTATAGTACAGATAGACAATAAAGCATTTTTAGGGATGAGAATGCTCTGCTGTGAGCCATGGGCAGTACCTTAGGAACATTAAATATTTCTGTCCTTTTTCTTATGTTTCAAACAAGCCAAGCCATTACCAGTGCATATCTAAAAATAGAGTGTATGTACAATCTACATCTATTCTGGAGACAAATCCCAGTTTATCATGTAAGAGTCAGTCACTCCACACTGGTGTAGCTGAATGCACGCTCTCATCCTGCGTGCTCTCTCTTGCTTGTCCCCAGTTACTCCCCTTTCTCCACTTCTCACATGAGGGTTCTGGTGGCCTTCTGTATCTCACAGGCTTAAGCTGCAAGTGAGCTACAGCTGTAATCTCAGGTCACTCCCAAGCAAACTTTCCTCCCACATCACAGCACCGATGACCTGGTGCAGTTAAATGTTTCCAAGGGGAGTTCTGGCACCATTTTTAACACTTAGATTTAATCAAAATGTCTTGTTTGCCTGGTTGTTTTTTTGTTTAAAACTGTTGTCTAACTAGAGTGCATACTGATAACAAAGGCCTTCAGAAACTTACAGTATTACTTAAGATAGGAACTGCTGCAATGTTTATCTGCACTAAAAGTAAGAAACAAGATTTATTGGGCAGGTTTGTTTGGTTTGGTTTTTTTAAATCATTAGAAGAACAACTTTTTGCATTACATGATAAGTTACTAAATATTATTGAGTGCTAAATCGCAGCTATCACTATTTATAGGTAAAAATTGTACTTCAAGATTAAGGAAAAAAACCAGTAAGACAATATTATGTGAGCACATGACTTCCATTTGGTTTTAAACAGTGGCTGCTTGAAACTGCTTGGAGATTTAGATTGTCAAAGACATGTCAGCAGAGATGGATTAGTGGGCAGAGAGCAAGTGGTGCAGTCAAAGGTTCATAGTGAATGTAATTTATTCATGTAGCTCCACAATTTATCACGTGGCTATTACCATAATGTACGTGGGAAGCAGCTGCATGCGTGCAAATAATGCCTTAAATGTACGTGTGGTTGGATCTGAGCTCCTTACAGAACAGCAGTGGTAGAAAATGGTGCCACAAGGCATTTAAAAGCAAATTTCCTTCCTGTGGGGATGCTGTCACCCAGCAATAATGATTTGTACACAGGCAAATAAATATCTTGTAAACTTTTCTCAGTTATGATAACCTCACTTACCAGAACTCATTGGTCTTTGAGATCTAAATAATGCAGGTAATGTGGAGCACCAAACTCTTATTTTCTTTTCAAGGAACTCAATATCTTCCACTCGCTATTTAACAGAAATATCCAATGGCAAAGAAAAGAGAGCCTCTGTGGGTGTGAGGACACAGAAGTTATCTACAAGTTAAAGATCTCCTTTAACTGAAACACCTTCTCACAGTGTGATCTATCAAACACTTGGGAGCAGCACAGCTGTAAAATATTTATATACATACATATATATGTGTGTGTGTGTGTGTATACATATATAGTATCTGCTGGTTTCTTACACCTGTGCATTTACTTACCAAGCCAAGTATTTCCAAACCCAGTCTATTTTAGTACCATGTAAAATGAGGAGCTTTGGTCTCTCTTAGTTTGCTTGAATGCCTACAGTTTCAGCTAGGAAGAAAGCTGTAAGTAGTTGCTAGAACTTGGAGGTGATTTTAGCTAAGGTGATTTACACACCTCTTGCAGCTCGCTCCCTTGGGTAGCTGGGAAAACTTCAACAGCACAACTCCCAACACCATTTTTTAAGCTTTAGCAATTTGATTTCAATTGATCTAACTGTTTGTAAATTATACTTAGTTATGCCATGCTTTAAACTGATTTTAGTGGAATTGGTTCATTCAAATCTTTCTTGATCAGGCAAAGGCCATCCCAGTTATGGGTTAGCACAATAGGAGTTTTAGGCTGGTTTCTTCTGAGACATTAAATGCTGCTGTAGAGAGGCACTGAATTCAGATAAAGTCCTCATAAGCAGAACATCTCATTGCTCAGCTTAATGTTCTGCTCACAGTTTTGTACAAGAAGACCTTTCACATTTGGAATATGATGCAGGTTTTCTTGGATAATTTTGTGTGCACTTCTAGGGCTTCTATTTTGAAGCCATCTATCACAAATATATCCCCACTAATTATGCAAAATGAAAAGCTTGCCTTACCATTGCACAGAAAGTCTCAGGAGGATCTCCACATGTTATGTCTGGGGGATCCAGAGTCACTTTTACATATTTGATCATGTCTCTGGCTTCTGGCTGGCAGGCCATGTAATCCCATACTTTTCCTTCTTCCGTGTAAATCTGAGTCTTACACACGTCATAGTGTCCCCACACAGAAGGGTAGTGCTGCATCACGGAGGATACAGTAACCCAGAGGGTGTGAAGTGACAGGAATCTTGACAAATACATTTCTAAATCCTTTTATGTCAGCTTCGTAAGAATGCTCAGTGCTGGCGTATATGCAGTCTAGAGATTATATGTACAGAGAATGTATATATTTATAAAATAGGTTCCAACTCAAACGTGAAGCGTTAGGATAGGATGTTTGTTTCACTATGTTTAAAGACTTTGGTAGAAGCCACCCAGGCCCTGATGACAGCCTTTCACAGCCATGCAGCACTTGTCCTTCGTCTTATAACTTATCTGTCAGGGCTTCTTGTACAAGATGTCCAACAGCAGATAATAATTTGTGTAGTTGCAGGTCTTCAGCTACACTGTCGATAACCCTGAGTGATCCTCCGTGTTCAGGGCTCGCAGGAAATGCCTGGACACACTGATAAATCAGTATCCCAAGGAAGAGGGTGAGTGTCTATAGGCTGGTGTCTGTTTCCCATCAATCATCCTTTTCTTCTGGCACCAACACCCTTTTAGAAACAATAAAAATTAAGAGTTATTGTCCAAGAATCAACGCATTACAAAAGATACAATATGTTGACATTTTGAAGGTTTGATGCAGTATAAAGCAAATTGGTACAATATGGATAACCTTTACTGTGGGTTCTGTGCTAGAATGAAGAAACTACCAAAATCATTCACAGTGAAAAGTATTTTGACATGAAGGATTTAACTGTAGTCTAACAAAGACAGATTTATAATGTTCCAGGTGAGTTAGAGGTTCCTGCTTCCAAAACAGTATTTTCATCCTAGCAAAGCTGGAGAGCAAACTCCTGAATTCAGCCATGGCCCAGATGGTGCAGGCAGGCAGGGAAGCAGGCAGCCCAGCACTGTAGGGCAGCAGCAGCAAAGTTCTTTTATTGAAGTGACACAGAAATGGGCATCAGGGCTAGCAGGTGCTGATAGTTTCTTGGCAAGAGGACCTCATGGAGCTCCAAAAGCCTTATATATTTATTTAATAATAATAACAATAATAATAATAATAAAAATAATAATAATAATAATAACAAGGATACGGCAAGTACAATTCAATTTCCTTGACATTTCTCATTAGCATTGCAAGAGCTTTGCTCCCTTTCTTTTTTTCCTTTGAATTGTGATTCACTGATCATATTAATGACAAACTACTGATAAAGATAATGGCTTATTTTATAGCTTACTATAAGGATGCTTCCCCACCCCTTATTTTCTTAGGTTTGAGGGTGGCTGTACTTGAGTACTCAGCACTTATTTCATAGCAGATATGTGCCCTTTTCCCTCTTCAGAAAACAACCAGAAATTCCCTCACTTTGTAGCACTTAAATCACATAATTACAGGTATAAAATGCTGGAATGATATCACAGCAACTTCAAATATATGTTTCCTAAATAACACAGGAAAAAGAAAATCCAAATTCTGTATGAGGAAAACTGCAAAGACAGAGGAAGTATCCTAAACAGGGACAAGGAAACCAGGGCTAGGAATTGCGGTGCATTTGTGTCAGCCTGTGCCACCCAAGGTTGGAGAGCCAGGGCGCTGGGCTGTCAACAGAAGATTTCAGCCAGACGCTGCAGCTTCCACACTTCCTTTGTCTGGATGCTAAAATCGAGCCAGACCCGCCGGACAGATGTTGAGAAACAAGTGTAAGTCGCCACTTTCTGCAGCCTGCTTTGCTTCCCAGCTTTAAATTATGCCCAGTGTTGTGAGCCCTCCTACACCCCACTGCCACGGGAAGAGGTGTGTGACCCGGTAAGCTCCTTAACATGTCACATTGGGAATATTCATTTTCAAAACTTATCTTCAAAGCTATTCGCAAACAGCCTTCCTATATTTAAATAATGCTTCATCTTAAACTGAGCTAAACTACAGGCACCATGAAATGCCAACAGATGGTTGAATTGTGTTTCCATAGCAAAGTAATTTACAATAATTGCTGTATGGACGTAAATGCAATTTTCCATTATATTCATTTTATCAAGTGTTACCATACAACTCTCATGTATTTTATCAGAATACGCAGAGAATATCTGAATTTTCCTGCAGTAACAATTCTCAATTAGTTCAAACATATTTAAGCTTCAAATCTGAATTTGACACAAAAGCAGGAATATCTAAGACCAAATTAAATTTAAATCTCTTTAAGAAGCATGCTGGGTAGTACTGTTGGCTTTGTAGGAACCTTACATTCATTTTTTTCTGTTTTCAGTGGGAGGGTTTGCATATTATTTTGGAATTCAGTAATTCAGGGAACACTTTCCGTGTCATTCTAAAGACACTTCTTCCCCTGTGTTTCCTTTCCAATGTATTTACTGTTTCAAAGGGGAAAAAAATGTACCTGCAAGAGCCCATAGCTTAGGGCTATGGAAAACTATGTCACTATGAAAATGTGAAAATAACTCCTTGCTAGAAGAGGCTGCAAATTATTTTAAATTTATGGCAAATCAAATACCCTTTATTGGACATGGCTTGGTCATAGCTGGAATAAACAGTAAGTAAATAAATAAATATAATTTTTCTGTGTAAAAATAAGAAGTAACTGAGTGTAATTATCTTTAGACTGCAAGCTTGTATATTTGGGCAAAAAAAAAAGTTTTTCTTTAATATCTTCCTTTCTAGCTCTTTAGTTACCTGTAACCTTTTATAACTGCTGAGACTCAGATCCACTAATAAACAGGATTGGGTAGCACTAAATAATGTGAAGCAAGCCGCTACCTTAACACACTGTGCTAAAATACTTCCCATATAACGAATTCTCATTAAAGTAAGCCAGTCATAATGATGGTCGTTACACAGAATTATAGACTATAACATCGATTGAATTTAGTGCACTGACAAGAAAAAAGTGCAGAGGAGTGCAAGACATCTGAGCATTAGGCAGCTGTAGCCGTGTACGACAGACACTCCTGACAAGAAGCAGCCAATTATAGCTTAAATTTCTGGCATATAACCAGTTCTGATTAATAGTTCTCCATTACATTACAGACATATTATTAATGTATTAAAAATGTCAAGCTTTGGCAAGAACTAGTATGGCATGGCTCAGTTAGTCTGCAATATCTTCTTTTAATGAGCTTCTATTGATATAGAGAAAGATATTGACCAAAGCACATTAAGGATCATGTGCTGAGTACTGCCAGGTTTTTTTTTTCTGATGGAGCCATATGATTTGTCTTGCTTTTGTTTGTTCCTGCAGAATCAGTTCAGATATGCGTTCTACATTTCAGTACCTCAATGCTAAGGACATAACTATTTGAATTATTTTGTAGAAAAAACATTTGGAGTAACATTTCGGAAGTTTACCGCTGTATCAGATGTCTAGTGATAAGCCTCTGGCTGTGGGCAACACACAGCAATGGGGTTTTTTGACCCCTGTAATGCCTGTGCATTTAACCTTAGAAAAAGGTAATCAAACCACGAATAAGTACTGTTTGATGCCCTGACTCCCTCTGCCCTGCCCTACTAGTTGCACACCCTGGGTGTTGGGGGCCACGGAAGTGGCAAAGATGGATCAGCGTCCTTGCTGGTGAGGGAACGGCAATTTGCCGGGAAAACTTCAGCAAATGTATGCAAAGCCACCAGAGCCACCCCTCCTGGTGTCTTCTGTGTGGGGCAGCAATGCTGGGGCATTGAACATTCCCATGTGCCACGGCCTCTGCACTATGGAAAGCACTAGGAGGCAGCTGGGAGGCACCAGGTAAAAAATGTAAAAAGTGCAAAGGCCACATCTGCTCTCTGCCTTCCTCTCTGAGTGCTACTCCGTCTGTGAAGTGCTGGTCATTCTGGCCACAAGTATGTCACAGCCATCTGGGAAGAATGGCATGCAGCTGACCCCCAGACTGAAATCTGCTGTGAGGAGGCTCTGAGCACATGCATCCCTTTCCAGGTGGGGAAGTCGCAGCTCACGCAGCACGTTAATTCTGCAGATGGAGACACCCCCTTTACAGCATAGGTAAGATGCATCTTGGCAGCCATCAGTGCCAGGGAAGAACTTCAGGTCTCGTTAGGGGTTGTTAGCAAACACTCCTCCTTTGCCTCCTTCCATCACTGTGAAAATCCACCCGCTTCCCCTCCTCACAAACCACAGTGGCTGGATGTCTAGCATGAGCTCCTTGCTAGGAAATCATGGTGAGATCCATAGGGGTGGGCTCTTGGGCCTCTCTTTGGCGAGCCAGGAACGTGAAGGAGGTAATAAAATAGTGACCACCTGCCACACTGACCACGCATTGCATCGAGCGTACCCGGGCAGCGCGCACGGGCAGGAACGAGAGCCAACATCAGCTACTACATTGCCTGAGGAGAACTGGCTAAAGTAAGGAAGCAAGGCAGGGAGTGCCGGCTGTCACCTCCCCACAGCGGCAGCTGCAGAACAGATTTTTCCAAAGGAAACATGTTTCAAGTTTGTATCCCGAACAGCTTAAGCAGATGAATGTATCCAATCAAGCCCAAGTAAAAAGAGCCTGTGCGTCCACTGCTGTTGTTAATTATTTAAAGCCAGTTTAGAACATAGGGAATAATATGTATTAGAAAACAGAACTAACCCTCATGCAACTTATATTTACTAACCTCGTGTTGTATACAATGTTACACCTAGGCGACCTGAGAACCTTGTACATATACAAACCAACCCCTTTTATAATGTAAAACTATCTATTCAAAAAGGGAACCGGTATTTAATGATTTAATTTTTTAAAAACACATTATTTCTGTCAATACTTGTATGAAATGCAGTATACTCAAGCAACTGCTTTGGTGTCTTTGGCCTCAAATGCTGTTCCAATCAAAGTTTAGGTTCTAGTCTTATCCAGCTTATTTAACTATTTAGCAGAAAAAGATTTCTTAACCTCAGGAGAAATTTAAAATGTCAATATCTAATTAAAGAAAATAAAATACAGCTACCGAAACCCTGCAACTTGGCACTATACTTGAAATACTTCTGGTTTTCACACATTATTCTTTGCTGACTGACACATCATACTACCACTGCCATTACTTGCCAGGTATCATCAGCTGTCAGAATACGGAGTAAAAAGCATTTTAGCTATTTAAATTTTCGAGCCTTAGAACATAGCTGTTTTTTTTCCTCTTGCATCTTGATAATTGTAGCGTCTTGCTTTAAATATCCCTGTACCTAGCATCAATCTGTTCTGCAAGTTTTTCCTCTGGGAATTAAGTTAGCATTTGGGGAAGTTACAGGCTTTGTTTTTGGGGTTTTTTCAATGATTCTTCACACTCAAAGTGATGCATGCTCATCACACAGTGTATGCAGGGTATAGGGCTACAAAGCTTTCAAGTTATGGTGTGAGCTGATGACTTTCTAACTGCTCAAAAATGAATGCCTACTGGTTGTTGAATTTGTTCTGTGCTACCGCTATATTTTATATAAATAGCTAGAAAGTTGGTGCTGCTTATCAATATCAGAGGTTTGAGACAAAGTTCATAACTCCATGAGAGTATCACCACTAACTGTTGGAAAGTCTCCAGTAATCATCCTTTTAAGGTCCAGCAATATATGAGAAATCAACCTTTATTTTTTCCCCATGAAAAGCATAAAAAAAACCAAACCCCAAAAGCAAAAACAAAAAACCCAAAATAAACTACCACCACCACCACAACAACAAAAAAAAAGCCAGGGGAAGTTCTGCTGTGGTTTTCTTCCCTTTGACGGGCTTCACAGGCCACAGCTTCTCATCCTCAACCGCATTGTCCTTAGGCAAGACAGTGACTTATTCCCTCTTTAAAAGCATCTCCACCGCATGTCCACACACTGTCTCTGCTAACATTTCTGTAGAAGTAATGCTGGCTCCTACCACATCAGATCCGGAGTATCGAAAAGTTGATTGCAGAACAATAAAAGTAGATCAATCAGAGGCCAAAACCGCACATGCACCAACTTCGAGAGTAGAAAATCATCTGTTTTATCGCGTTTAGCTGATCTGCGCCGCTCACCGCCATCAGGGGTTTTCTTTGGGGGTTCTGTGTGCGTGTGAATGTTTAGAAAAGCCGCCTGCAATTTCCGACGCGAGGGAGGAACTGTTTCCAGGCTGGGTACCAGTGCCCTGCCCGCTGCTCCTCGCCGGCGGGGCGATCCCCGCGCCGCCGCCCCCGCCTCTGCCGACGGCAGCGCCGCTCTCCCCGGCGCCCGCGGTGAACCCGCGCTGTGGGGCGGGCGCCGGCGCGAGCCACGCGCCCCTCCCTCAGGCTCGCTCGCGCTCCCTCAGCGCTCTCGCACCGCCCGCGCCCCTTCAAAGCTCGGCGCGGCCCGGTCCCAGCTCCCGGTTCCGAGCTCCGGCGGAGGAGGCACCGCGCAGGTACCGCCCCAGCCCGGCCCGGCCCCGCCGCGCTCCGCTCCGCGCGGGCGGCAGGGGGCGCGCGGCCCGCGCCGATCCGCCCGCGGTCGGTGCCCCGAGCCCGGCGGGGCGACCCCCGCACGCAGCCCCCGGCACCCGCACCGGCCGCTGCTCGCCGCGCCGCCCCCGCGCCCCGTCCTCCCCGGAGCGGCGTGCGGGCCGTACTCACCCTGCGAGCTCGGGCCGCCCGAGCCTCACCGCGGGGCGGCGCGGAGCCGCCGCGGCGCTGGGACGCGCTGGGGCTCCCTCGGTGGCGGCATGAAGGGCCGCGGGGAGGGCGTGAGGAGGGGGGATGCCGTTCCCCGAGAAAGTTTCCGTCGGGTCGCGGGCGGGGGCTCGGCGGGGCCCAGGCACTTGTCGGCGTCGAAGTTTGGCGGGGCGCGGGCGGCGCGCGGCGGGCGGGCGGCCGCACTCCTCCGGCGCTCGGCGGGCGGCGGGCGGGTCCTGCCCGCCGGGGCTCCCCGCCCGCCACCGCCGCTCAGGGCGGGGGCGGCCCCGCGCGGGGCGCCGGCGTCCGCGGCATGGGGCGCGGGGCGAGAGGAGCGCGCCCCTGGCCGGGGCTGCGGCGCGGGGGCTCCGGCGGCGCGGCCAAACTTCGGGGGGCGGCGGCGGCGGCGCCTCCTCACTTCGGAGCGACCTCGCCGCGACTGCCGGCGAGCGGGGCGGCGGCAGCTACCCTACCTCCGGGCCCGCGCGCCGCGCGGCCCTAGCGCCGCCGCCGCGCCCGCCCCCCCGCCGCCGCGCTCCCCGCCCCGCCGCCCCGCGGGCGCACCGCCGGCGCCGCCTGCCCCGCGGGGGGGGCAACGGGACGGGACCTACCGGCCCGCACCGAGCGGGAGCCGCCCAGACGCCGGCGGGGCTGTGGCTGCTCCCTGCCCGCTGGAGTAGCCTTAATTTTCCCGTGTTATTTCGGCTTCAGCCTGGTAGCGCACAGGCAGAGGTGCTGTCCGTGCTGCCGCCGTCCGAGCCCCGAGCCCGGCGGGCTGACCCCAGCGCCCCGTCGCTGCCGCGCTTGGCTGCGGGGACAGGGCAGCGTGCCGCCCGACCCGCCGGAGGGTCCCTCCGCAGTGCTGGGCACGCCGGGGAAGCGCCGCTTCGTCCTCTGCCTACAGCACCGAAGTGCCACCGACACAGGGAGGGAGCGCGACTTGTGCTGTTGTGGTGCTGCTGTGACCGCCCGCCCCGTACCAGCCCCTCGGGGCTCCCGAAAGACGCGAAAACCCCGTCTCCTCCTTCTGCTACGCTTTCTCGTTCCCTCCTGCACGCCCTCTGCTTCTGTCGCTTAAACGAGAGGCGCACGCACTTCTCCCTTTTAGATTTCTCCGAGCTACAAAACAGTATCTAAAAACTAATGACTAGCGAGTCCGGTGCAGGAATTGTGCTTACTCCTGGCAACTACCTGGTTACTGAATTTGACCGACTGCAGCTGCCAGCGCTGGGCAGTGGGACACTGGCTGCATTGTGAACGCTCAGAAGCTGCGTTTATCGTTTGTTTGCGTGTTTTGCATGTTAAGAGGTGTTAAATGTATTTATGTAGGCAACAGTGCCGTCGTATTTTGTTGACAAAATTTGGCAGTTTGCAATGCCAGTAGGTAATCAGACGAAATGAGACAGGGGATTTATGGAAGAGTAAGAAATTTGTTCTCTATTTGAGCCATGGAATTTGGTAGATTGTGGAAATAATGGCAGGAGCCATTATGAAGGAGAGTTTTTTTCTTTCTCCTAAGGCAGGTAACCCAGCAAAGTAAAAAAAATGCCTTCTAGTTCCTCCCAGCTTTTGTTTCTCTCTGTGTGGGCAGTGGTGCTGTTTTGGCATTTCCGTTCATTCTCTGGAATCTCTGGCTGTGTTAGTGCAGGTACCACATGCATGGAAAATCTCTTTGTGTGAGAAAGCCAGGAATGATCAAAGGGGTGGGAAAAACCAGCTTCAGGGATTTTCAATCCCCAAAAGCAGTTCTTGCTTTGTGTGCAGCCTCCTGGTCCCTGAGGTACAAAAAGATAGAAGATGGAAATCAGTAATTTTTTTCTTCCCACTTGAACTGGAAGCATGTCAGGCATCGAGGCTCCATAGGGCCTTTTGTAAAGAAGAGGGGCAGAGTTCCATTGCAGTTGGAAGAAAAGGGTTGTTTTCCTAATTACTAGACAGATGGTGGGCTGTACAGTGAAGTTCAAGAGACTGTACACACTGAGCCAAGTCCCTGCAGTGGCACATGTGGATGGAGCAGCCCTGCTGCCTGTGACAGCCGTGGGGTTCTGCTGCCTTGTGGAGCTCTGAGTGTGGTGGCTTAGTCTGTCTCTGGGCCAGGCTGAATCAGCTGTTTGCAGGTGCTGCAAGGGGAGTGGTTTGGAGTGCTGGAGGACTGTTGTCTTGCTTTAGACTTGAACTGGGAGAGGATGCCTTCTTTCCACGTGTGCAGGGCAAAGCTCTTCATGTCACAGCAATGCCACTGGTACTGGTGTACTTGGAACGTGTCATACACACGTGCTGTGCATCTTGTGCTGCTCTGATCACAAGCCCTAAACCTCACCTCCAGAGATGTGTGGGAAGTTTTCTCTCCTCTGTGCAGAGTTTTTGGTCTCTCTCCTGAGGCCATTATTTGCCTGGTGGGACTAGCTGGCCACAAAGATTAAAGGCAGGACCGAGAAATCTGACGCGTCAAACATCATTAAATTCTTCATGCTAATGCTACTGGCTTCTTCTGCATCAAAACTAGAGCAGCTGGTTTGAGTGCAATGTCACCAAGTCTGAGATTAGATGTGCCTTACTGTTAAAAATGATGGCCAAAAATCAAGTCTAGTCTGAGGATGTGGCCAAACTTTACAGCCAAATTTTAAGCTCACGAGATAAAAGGGATCTGATTTAAATTCTTTGTCAAAGTCTGTTGAAAAGATGGAAAAGCAGATGGAATTCAGCAGCTAGAGATTTATCTATGTTGTTTTTGTTCTTTTTAGAGTGACATGTTGGAGTTAAAGGGAGAAGGGGCAGTGCTTTCATAACCAAACTAAAAATACTGTGCTGATACCTGTACTACATTTCTGACAAATCTTTTAGTAGTAAGTAATGATTTTTCACATGTAAATTGGCTGGGCAACTCACTGTCACAGTGCCTTGAGACTGGACTTCAGCAGGATTTCTAAAGCAGGTTTGATGTGTAGACAGAAGATAAGATTAACCAAAGTTTGAAAGGAATATTTAAAAACACCTCAGGTCCCACTGCCTGCCTTACAGGATTGGAAATTGACTAAAAATGAAGATTTAGCAGTTGTTAAATACCAAAGGATGCAAAGTCACAACACTGGGAAAGTGTTATCTTGAAAGTGCTTCCAGCAGTATTTCTTATGTCTTCTCAGTAATAGCTGGCATTGGCCTCTAACAAAATCAGGGAAGGGGATAAATTTTTGATTACTGTCCTGAGCATGGGAGCACCTATGCCTATTAGGACACTCCTTGCTACAAGGCATAATTTATATTAGAAGCAGCATAAATTGCTGGTACAGATGTGATATCGCTGATTGCAAACTTTTCTGGTGAAGCACCAGCTGAACTGCAAGTTTTTAACCAAGTCCTAAATCTAAACAAGCTTTGCATGTTTTCAGGCTGTGGTTTGGCTATTTAGTGCATCCCCTCATGTGCCATTATGAATCTTTTATTACTTGCTGTAGTCTAAGTTGACCTCTAATGATACAGCAGAATTATTTTATTAGTGCCTTTACCTACATCAGAGTACTGCTGCAATGGGCAGTAGCAGAGTACCTGGCATTGCCTGAAGTACTGTCCCTGGAAATGTATCCAGAGACGCAGGAGCTTCCCTGCCTGAAGCTCAGTGTTTCAGCATGCTGGTGGCTGAGGGCCACAGTGAAAGATGCAGGTGTGATGTGATGCAGTGGCCGGGCCTGACCTCAAAGCAGAGGCTGATCATGGCCTGCCAGTGCATGGCAGGCAGAGCAGAGGAGGCAGTGGCTGCAGCTGCTGGGCTGAGCGGTGGTAGGGAGGGTCCCGCTGTGCAGAGAGCGGCTCGCTGCTTCTGCGCATCTCTGCTCTGCGGAGCCACTACCTGCTCCATGTGCTGCTCTGCTCCTCCATCACACTGCACACATATTTCTGACCTCTTTTGTCACCAGCTGAAGGAGTTTTTGCAGAGCAGGCAAAAGGTGTGGGAGATAAAAGCAAGAGTAGTGCTCATTTTCCCCTGACTCCTACTACTGAGCTGAGACAGGGGTAGAAATGGCAAGAAACAGCAAATTCTCCCAGTGGCAGAGCTCGTCTGTCCATTTTATTGCTGCTTTGCCCACAATAGTTTAGCCTTCTGTAAAATCAATTGGCTGTCTATAATTTGAGTGTTGTTCTGGGCTTCCATGTTTAGTGCCTCCAGTGCTTACAGCAGAATGATTGGAAAATTGTATTTAGATAAATGACAAAATCAAAAGGCTTCTGCATTAGAGCTGTTCGACCTGGAGAAGAGAATGCTCTGGAAAGACCTTATAGCACCTTCCAGTAACCTAAAGGAGACCAACAGCAAGAGAGCTGAAGAAAGGTTTTTTGCAAGGGTATATAGTCATATGAAAAGGGGAAATGGCTTTAAACTGAAAGCAGATAGATTTAAATTAGGTATTAGGAAGACATCTTTTACTCTGAATGTAGTGAGGCTCTGGAACAGGTGGCCCAATGAAGTGGCAGATGCCCCCTTTCTGCAAGTGTTCAAGGAGGAATTGGATGGGGCTTTGAACAACCTGTTTTAGTGGATGGTGTATTCCTGCCCATGTCAGGAGAATTGGAACTAGAAACCGACTCAGGATATTGAATGATTCTATGATTTGTACAGGCAGGGGACAAATCCTGACTTCTGTTCAGTGAAGCAGTGAATAGACAGACATCCCTATGTAGTGTTTAACACTGCTTGAGCTTCAGCATAGCTCAAGAGCAGGGGACAGCGAG